TCAATAACATTACACTTTACGGTGTCTGTGATTTCTGATTTTCGATTTCTCAGCATTCATCTATCTTTTTTTTGTGAGTCGTACAGATCTCTCACAATCTCCTTTCTTATTCTTCACAATATGCTGCCTATAACTAAGTTTCAGATTTGCTGTATTTCGTTCTCATTTGTATAGTATTTTATCATCTAGACTTTGAAATGATTAAAATCGTAGAATTGCATCCCTTTCTCCTTCACTATTTCTTACGCTTCCTCAGTGAACCATGGTACTTTTTATTTACGGGATTCACTACAACCCTACTTTTTCCTACTGATTTTCCTGTGCCTCTAATTATGTTCTTATTTTTTCTCACGTGTTATTTCAATTAATTCGTAACAATAAACAAAATTAGTAGTTCTCATAGAGGCGACAAACATATGCATGTTTAGTGTGCTATTCAAAAACATATTTACATTGTTTATTGTAGAATCTAAAAACTTTACTTACTTCTCAGAAACTTCCTAACCAATGAGCACATGCTGAAAAAAAACATTTCAGATTTCTGGAAGCTCTCTCTGTAATTCATAGTTTTTCTAACGACTTCTTTAATGTCTGATAACCGTTGCTGTTATGACGACAGAGACAGTTTTGGTTTGTAGAATATTCCACAGTTCCGTCTCGATATTGGCCAGTTCTTGGTAGTTCTGGACCTTCGCACTGACTTAAGCTTGCTAGTATGGACGATTTTCATATCCAAAAACAATATCTTTTTCTTGTTTTTATCCCAGTGTTATGTCAGGTCTCTTGAAGTGCACGATCTGCCTGTCTCTCAATGCAGCACATAATTTATTTCGTTTGTTTTCAAAGACGTTTTGGAGACATACTTGTGAAAAGGGTATTATGAAATTGTGCGGAACCACAGATCTTGATGAGTTCGGCATGGATAATTTGTCCCACCATGCAATGTCTGTTAGTAGTATATAAAAGAGGGCTACTGGATCGCATTTTCATATTTCACATTCTTTCAATGTTTAAAATATTATATTTTTGCAAAAAATCCCTACATTTTGATAATATTTTCCACAAATACCCCAAATTGTAAATAATTTTATCGACTTTTACGCGTTGAGACGAATTGAGATTTGTTCTTATCCACCATCAGATTTTCAGAAATAAATTTCCACGTTTTCAAACCTTTACTCATTAACATTAAATATTCACAAAATAGAGGATAAATGCGTTGAACCGCATTCAAATCGCTAAATCAGCTTTTAGAACGATCTGGATACCACTAAAAAAATGAATAAAAGTATAAAATAAAAGTATAATTTCCGTATAAATGGAATATATCCCCAACTAAATCAAGTTTCATATGATGTCAGAATATCAAAACGTTTAAAGGAGTAATGAAAGACTTAATACCCTGTTGTTGATGACAAAAACATACAAAATTGGGATAATACGCGGTATTAGATCTGAATTCTGAACAACGAGGCCAGATTTTTAGTATATTTTTATCAGTTCAATATGCAAGTAGTTTAAAAGAATAGAGGTTTTAAAGATCTTCAAGAACACAGTACGACAACAAAGTTTTCCACAGAAGAAAAATATCTAATTGGTATAAAGTTCAGTGCCCTGATGCCAATAGTGAAAATCATTCTGTTATTTTAGGAATATTATTGCCTAGAGTGATTAGACAAGGGAGGGTGAGATAAGCACTTGAGGTAGGTAACAGGAATATGCGGTTGCATTAGTCAACGCATAGTGCGATCACGCAGTATCTATTCTTGGAGTATATGAATACGCTAACGTGAAGAATATTGTTTGTGCATGTTCTTGTTGTTTTTATATTCAACGATGTCTTGTAAGTCTGTTAATTCACCAAACCTTTTGTGATATGTGTTGGGCCAGTTTACAACTATATCTCAAATATATCCCATTTCTCTCATCGCCAAAACATTACAGGAGTTGTATTTTAAATCAAAGGTAGACGAGAATAAGTGTTGGTCACCACAGAACTTTTGCTCATGCTGCTCCAGCTATTTATCGAGGCTGCATGAAACCAACCCATCTATGCCATTTGCCGTACCAAAGTTGTGAAAAGATGCAGGAGACCACGTTATAGATTGTCACATTTGTTTAACGAAAGCAACAAGAATCTCAAGTAAAACAAAACACGCAGTTCCGCATGTTGATCTTCGCCCAGTTCCAAAACCACCAACGCAGTGAAAATATGAAAAATGGCACATAGTTTGGTATATTGTAATAACTGCTTAAAAATGGATGGATTGCTTAAAAAATTCTGGATGTTTCACAACCGGAAAGAATGGCGCCTATTTATAGATTCCTCAATTAGTAGTCTCAAAGCCATTATCTCACAAAACAGAAACGAGAAATCTTCGATACCAGTGATCCTTTCCGTTCAGTTCACGGAAAACTACGAGAACATGAGACTACTCCTGAAGAATATTGGCTATTCGAATAACAAATGGAAAATGTTTGGTCATCTCAGAGTCCTGGACCCCCTAGGAATGCAGACTCCTTACACAAAATATTGGTATTTCTTGTGCCTCAGGGATAGTAGGGCAAGGAAAGAGCATTATGGGCTCAAGAATGGTCTTTGAAATAATTTTTTTCATGAATCCCTAATTGACGAAGACAGTGTAGAATTATCATCACTCCATCTAAAATTGGGCTTTATAAAGAATTTTGTGAAACCAATGCCCAAAAATGGTCAGAGTTTTCAATTTTTACTATCTAAATTTCCTGTCATTAGTACTGAAAAAATAATGGAGTATTCATTGGCATCAGTTCCGTGACTTGATGAAAGTTATTACCTTTGAACAGTTACTGACGGGTACTGAGAAGAGAGCTTGGCTTGCATTGAAAGATGTAAGCGACAATATCTTGGGAAATGTCTGAAAATTACAGGGAACTGTCTGAACACATGCTGGAATGTTACAAGCTTATGAGGAGCAACATGTCTCTGAAATTACTTTTCCTTCATTTCCATTTGGATTTCTTCCCACATAATGTTGGTGACGTGAGTGACGAACATGGTAAATGATTTCACCTAGATATCGCTGCCATGAAAAGAGAATATAAAGGAAGATTGTCATCAAACCTTTTGGCGGATTACTGCTGGAAACTCCTAAAAGAAATATCACCATCCACTGATAAACGGAAATTTTCAGGAAATGGTTCTAATATTTAAGTACATTTCAAGCTGTATTCAACTCCTACTGTTTTCAATCTATGTTTTGTAATGCAAGCAATTAATTATACAAACAATTTAATATAAACAATTCTTATAATACAAATATTTTGTTACCTGGTCTGTACATTAATACACTACATATTCCTCCAGAACTGTTATTGAATCATTTCCAAGTGTCTCAGTGGGATTTGATAAAGAACACGTTCTTTCATCTCGCACCAAGAAACAAAATTCACATTTGTTGCAATGTGTAATTAAAGAATTTGAGATTAGTGTTGAAATGATTTAATGAAAAGGATATTATTGAATTGAACTTTTTACATGATTAAATCATAGATTGAATTAAATTAAAACCATCATATATCTGATAGATATCGTATTGAAAATACCTATTCGTTTTCGATTTCTTATGTTTATAGGCTACGTATTTAAAACTATAAATTCTAGAGCTAATGCATAAGGTTTTACTCATTATTGTTCACATCGTGTATTATCATTATGGTAGTAGCTGTTAGAGAATTAGCGATACAAAAATTAGCAAATTATGGTTCTAATTCTGGAAATAATGATTGTAGGGTTGAGATTTTTAAATTTCAAGAATATTTTGAATCACCATTAAATGGAGAATTGAATACTGAAACATTAGAACTTTTAATCAACCGCGGTATGGTGTTCAGATACACATTTATTAATAACAACAACAACAACAACAACAACAACAATAATAATAATAATAATAATAATAATAATAATAATAATAATAATAATAATAATAATAATAAACAAGCACTGTTGCGCAGACTGTGGCGCAGCCGGTTGCGGCAGCTTGGACTGCTGCTTCATTTCCCGTATGTAGGGTGGACCAATGTCTCATCCAATGGGACCAGTCGCCTCAGACACTTCGTTGCATCCGTATTGAATCGGACCAAAGACTGCTGCAAAAATCGTTTGCGCATTTGCTTTTGATCGGCAGTCAGCAATGCTGCAATCATCTTGCGCCGAGCTTTCGCATCCCTAATTCTTTGTGCAAGTTATTTCACACCTTTTCATCCGATATTCCTACACTCAGCTATCTCTCTCACCTTTACTCGCCTGTCGTCCAACACGATACCATGCACTTTTCCGACTGTTTCGAATCTGGTTGTGGTTTTTATCCCTCCCCACGTGGATCATTTTTGAGGGATATGCAACCACGTATAAATTCAGCTGTCTACTTTTTAACCGCTCACATGGAAGGAGCGGAGTCCCCGTAAACGTTTGTCAACTTCGGATGAATTTCCTTATTTCCATCCAAAACGAATAATTTGATGACCGTACGATATAGAATTTACTGAATGATATTCCTGAAAACAAACTATTTGTACAAGGGAGAAAAAGTTGAAATTTGCCATAAGAACACATGACATGTGCACCCAGGCAGGAAAAATTCGTTTTTGCTGTTTGGAGTGCCATCTATGGATCAGGCCGAGACGTTTTCACTTCTCCGTAAATTATGGTTACTGTAAGATAATGAAAGTGTAAAATCAGTTGCAGCACATGGGCGTCGAGTGTGCAAATTCCCATCGTGTAACACTCAGCTACGCACTATGGTTCCTAGCTCGATCGCAAGCGGTGACAGTTCGGCTCGTGAATGCATACAGCCACCCACACGTCCCCCGATGTAACATCCTCTCGATTAGTAAAATTCGGTAACGGAAAAGACAGGCCAGTAAACGGTAGACCCATTATGATTATTTTACGAGAAAAGAGCGCGCTTTCTTGCAGGACATGCCGAATGAATTTTAAAATAATTATTGATTTTCAGACTTACTTGGTTGGGAAAATTTTAGTTTTGCCGCCAAACCGAAGTTTTCTGAAGCAAATTGAAAACTGCCTTATGAGAGACTGGGAGATTTATTTTTAAAAGAAATAAATATACCACAAACGTGAGCATGGTTTTCACCACTTAAAAATAGCACCTATGATGTATAAAAAATAGAACATCGTACGATATACGCCTCCACCTCCCCTCTACCGTTGCTTCAGAAAGGGCAAATACAAGGATGAGAATGGAAGAATGCCACGCTTTGCCTCTGTAATTGAACAATAATGAGAAAAACAAAGTCGTGGCGTGTAGTGACCGCTCGTCTCTTTGTGTTGGCAGGTGATCAAAATGCTGATCCTGGTGATTGTGCTGTTCGTGGGGTGTTGGGGCCCCCGCATCATCATGGAGATCTTCATGAAGCTCGGCATCGCCACCTTCTCCGCCGCCACGTACCGCCTGCGCGTCACCATCTTCGTGTTGCCCGTGGTGCACGCGTGCGTCAACCCCTTCATTTACTCCTTCATGTCGCACAACTTCCGGCGCTCGCTGCAGCGCCAACTGGCGCGCGCTGGGCTGCGCGGCGGCGGGGGGCGGGGCGGGCGGGGAGGCCGCGAAGGCCGGGGATTCCTCGGGGGGTTCCCGCGCGCAGCGGGCCTCGAGCAGCGCGGGAGGCCTGCCGTGGGGGGCATGCGCACCCCCTTTTGTCCGTTTGCGCCTGCCGCCTCCGCCCACTCGGGCTTCGGGCCGCCTCCGGCCGGCCACTCCACTGCCTCCGCCAGCGCCCCTCCCGCGCCTCCATCTCCGTCTCCTCCACCACCAACTGCAACTACAACTACAACACGGAAATCACCCGCCACACGGACATGGAGCACGTCGGGGCCACTGCTGAGGTGTAGTGGGCATAGTGCAACCTTCCTCATGGCAACTGTCCTTAGAACGTGGTGTCTCTCGGACAGCCAAAACGTTATTGAATCCGGTCGCGGAGGCCTACGTTTGCACACTTGTGATTATTTTTCTATTTATTTACTCATTTATTTAACGTCAGAAAGAGACGAAAACTATGTTGTGTTTGTCGGAAAAGTTTAATCTGCGCTCTATTTCTTGAGCTCTGGAATCCACTACTCTTACTATATTTTGTTGACTTTTACAACAAGGTATCTGCAACTTTGGCAGCATTTGATAATAAGAAAAATTATCTTCTCTGTAATAGAAACCATTTGAATCAGCAAACGAGAAACAGATTTCATGAAACTGTTGACGATCTCGCTAAACTCTCCACTAGCACCAAAGAAAACTTAAAGGGGCATTATGAACACTTTGAAAAAATGCCCGCGCGTCCCAAAATATAAAATCAAAAGTATATTTGATTAGAATTTTGCTGGCGCATGAGATTATTTTACGTTATCCTGTTTTCATTATAAAGTGTCAGCAAGATGAGGGGGTCACCAGCCTCCAAACGGTGACGTCCAGGGAGGTTCATTCGAGGCGATTGCTCACCAAACCAGCTCATTCCGTAATTTACCAAACGTCACCTCGTAGCAGTTTTGTGACGTCTGGGGGATGCTTAGAGACGTAGGTAAGTTCTTGCAGGTTAAGGTCCAGAGAAAAAGGTCCAAATTGAAATTCTCACTAGCATTGTCAAACATTGTTACAGGAGTTTTAAAGCTTATTCATATTTGTAAGAATTATATTATAAAATAATTAAGTATTCGTAAATATTTTAGCACACACAACATTTGGTTTTACTAGTTTGAAGAATAACGTCTCCAAATAATTACATAGTAGGACCAATGGTTTGATTTATTTTTTGTTTAAAATTATTCCCAATTATCGTTGGAATTAATGCACGGAAGTGCCAAGTGCCGCTTGAGTTGATGCTCAATAATATTAGCTCCTTCTTTACTTTTGAACTACATCAGGAAGCCAACGAAATAAACGTAAAATACATTAATTTCATAAACAAAGGGTTTGCGGTGACCTTTCTCTAATTTCTTGACAATCTGGATAACGAAAACCTGGCGTTAACATTGAATCAACGGTTAAGGGATTATAAACTGCGAATTTTCCATTGGTCACTACCTCGAAAGATGTCGAGTGAAGAAGAAGAAGAAGAACGAACATCCTTTGTTTTCCCCCTTTCGAGAGAGAAAACGAGCGCTACAGACTATTCGCTCCGTCATTTCTACAGTGCCGCCGCCGGCGATCCTCACAATAACAGATGTAGTGTCGAAAAATTGGTTAATAGACTGCAGCATTTAAATGTTATGTGGTCCTACTCCTGTTTATTTTGCGAAATGATACGTAGAATAACATTTAGTTCTTTCCAAAAATTGAAAAAGATATTCATTCTACAACGCAAAATCTTGGTATAACGTGGTATATGAAGACTGAATCTTACAAAAGAAATACTCATATGAAAGGGTTGTGAGTATTGGCGCAGAAGGCACAAGGGGGCAGGGGTAGTTGCATTGCGTTCTAGTGCAAGCCATTCCATCGCCTACAAGAAATATATCAATATAGATAATATCACACATTACGTCATAAAATTTCAGCACATGGAATAAAATTAGTGGATTTGATAACTTTTATTACGTTTTTCACGTAATACAGATTTACTTGCAAAAAATCAATTAAATATCATCCTCTTTCCATGCAAAACAGCTTAATTACGAGTATGTCAACGAATATTACGAGTCGAAGAAGCGAAGAGTGCAATGACGTCTCCAAGATCAGAAAAATATTTCGTGGTGGGAGGTTTTGGTGAAGTAATGGTGTTCAAAAAGCAGTATTTACTAATTTTAACACTTTAGCAACAAATGAACAAGTTTGTTTAGTAATAATTTGGCATCTCTTGTCCAAATTGTTATTTTTTAATATTCACCTCAGAGACAATTTGAGGATCCTCCCGGACCGTGCAGCGCACGCTTCGGAATTGTTAATAAAATTATTAATTGTTGCAAAATTGTTAATTATAATAACATTCAAAGGAAAATTGATATAGTTTCAGATCAAATCTAATATAAATAAATTTAAAGGTTGATCATTTGTTTACATCTATTTTCAACCTAGCAAAAGAGAACGTAAAAATACAAAAATGGTATTATGAGATTTCACAGAATTTATAAAATGTCACTTATACATTTCTGGTTTGCACCCATTTTATTCTCTATCTCCTCCCGCCTCTTTCTTTGCAGTCACAGACAGACTTATGGCCAAATGTAGATAGAAATACTTTGCCAATCTAAATATGTACTACGTAAGAAAGGTACATGTAACATATATGATATTAATCTGCTACATTTCTGACATGTCTCTTTAGACTGAATTATATTTTAAGTGTATACTTTAACACTAGAATATACATGACCACGTATAAATATTAAATTTGTCGTATTAGCATTACATTACTGCTTTATGTTCAACACATTGCATTGACCCAACGGATGGTTTAGACACTAGTGTTGTTCATAGACAGGCGGACAGACGGCCGGACATTAAAAGAAAACTCCTCTTAGGAATCAGAAGACCCCTGAACGTGCATTTCCGTTGAAGTATCAAAATTAAATTAACACAATATCACATAACTTTCTATATACAAGTAATATGTATCTGGCATACGTATATTTCTCGACAGCCTCCCACTACTACATTATACTTACACATTTCTCCAATACGTACAGATCAAATACATCGAAGAAATCGTTTATATCTCTATTATTTTAATTTGTTTTTCCTGTGTCCCTGCGTGAGAATAATTGAAAAAAGACTGCTGACGAAATTTCAAACTCACGAGGATCAAGAATTCTATATAAACCTGGTCGTCGTCATCTCGTGGCTCAAGGCGCGAGGAGGTAATTCTCCCTCGCCATCGGATCGGGCACTGCCCCTTCTCGCAAGGACATCTCGCGCAATGACCCACCCCCTATTTACGAGAAACAAACAACAGAACTTACAATATAGCATGCTCTCGTGCACTGTAATAATTAAAGAGGTAATTGGAGAAGGCCTCACCTCGCCGACGGTCTGAAGGAGATGCTGGGTAACAATGAATCCTCTATCCACAGTCTAACTTTTTTGAAGAAAATGTTTAATCTAGTCTGGGAGAAGGATAATCCTTTTTAATTTGACTTTTATAAACCGATTTTGCATTGTTCAAATAACACTGTCTTTGTCAGTTACTTTATTTTATTATTAGTCACACTTTACTAAATTTTACTCATTTTATCTTGTAATTACTAAAAATTATTATTGACGCAATGGATCTATGTCCTTAATACAAATTGACACGGGGTCCAAGGATCTTCGACTTTAATACGTCCTTAAACATTACGCCTAATCATAATGGTCATCTGAAGCTCAATCTATACATCCGACACGTCTTTTGAGACAGTTTTGCCAATAATATTGCACTCTGCAATTGTCAAGGGACTCAAGAAACTTGAGCACATTGCACATTTTTTAGATCATTTAAGAATTTTAAGATGACATGAAATCGCATTTTTAGTAAGTAATAAAGAAGAGATGCGAATTTTTGGAATTTTTGACTTGTGAGGTCATTAAAACTGGTGTTTTGCGTGTTGATCTAAAACCAAATGATGGATTAGGTTGGATGCTCATTAATGTGTTGGGATTCGTCTTCGTGGTCGAAAATATTCGAGTATACATAATAACCAGATAATAACCAGACTACACAATTAAAACTTACAAACACAAATGCATGTGGAGATGAAGTGCGTCAACAATACGCCATTAGGAAAGAAGCGAGGTTCAGAACAGCGCAGGAAACATCGACAAAACAAAAACATTACAAAAGATTACCGTTAACGATATTTGTCATAAAATATTTAAAGTTAAAGCGCGCGTGACATATGGCACATGAATATTAAAATTCGTACATTTCAGAAAGTAATTAAGCGATTATTAAACAATTGCTAAAATATACACTATGGACTATGTGAAATAACAAAAAAACAAAAAAAATTTTTTTGTGCCAAAATCGCTTCCGAATTCCCTTAATTATGTTTCTTAGTGCTTATGATATTATTTTTACTTCGTCACTATA